TGAGAGTTGAATAAAAGCTCACCTCAAAATAAAATGAATTAATAAATTTATGGAAAATTTTACATTGCATATATTGAGCAGAAAGAGTAAACTGAATATACTTAATGGAATTAATAATTGGTAGAGTTGATAGCAGAATAAAATGCCTTAATTGCATGGTAAACAGTAGATCTTTTGAAGTTTTTCTATGTTGCGTAAAATGCAGATTTAAATTTTTGATATTGATTGTCATATAAATGGCAATTACTGTTTTATTTTGCTCTGAAATGAATGGTTAGTAATAAAATTCTGGATGAGGCAAACCTTTAACATGCGCTAGAATTTACAAAGTTTAATTTGGTGCTGATTTCAACGGGTAAATTTCATTTTACTGAATTTTGCCTAAAAATAATACCAATGAACCATTGCAAATTATTTTCAGAACTTTTTTTTTTTAATCTAAAAGGGCTATTAATTTTGAAATGTGACTTCATATCATCAGTCGTAAACTTGTTTCGCTTTTCATTCAAGTCTTGCCATTTGGCAAAATTTAACATATTTACCTTTAAAATCTAATATATTATTGACTAATAAGCCAAGCTATTTGAAGCATTACACACAGTTCATAACAATGCTTTTTTTAATTTTTAATCTGATTGATTTAAAATGCATTTAATTCATGATATATCTAATTGAAAACATTTTAATATTTCTACATAATTACATGATATATTTCTTCATTTTTCAAATATATAGAAGATATATAACTTTCTGTTGTCAGTATCTTATAAAATGTTTTGCTATTTCCACTGCCCCGTCTGTATTGATAATCTATGCATTCATAAACTTTTAGCCTCTTTGAGTGACTCCTAAAATCTGAGGCCATTCAGATTTTTTTTTTAATTGTGTGAGCAGAAAGATAGAATTTTAGAAGAGCTTCTTGAGTTACCTTTTGAATGATATAAAGAATTGTTAACATAATGTCAAATTTTTACAACTAAATATTAAATATATAAAAAAGCCTGCAGCATTCTCATGTTACGAAAACATATTTATTTATTCTGAGGCTAGGAATTGATTTAGTTTTAAAAATACAATTTATTCCTTTTAACAATTTCCCAACAGTGTCATCAAAAACAACTATAAATTCCTTACATGTTTTAAAGAAAGATGATTCATTTATGTAAAGATTATTAAATTGGTAATTTTATTATTCAATTTTTAATACAAATTAACTGAAATTAGAAACTGATTTTGTAAAATAATTTAATTATGAATAATTCAATTTGGGGGCTATTGGATGTTTAAAAATGATCAAAAGATTTTTAATATCTTAAAAATAAAAGCAAAATTTTCAGTTTTAATATTTTGTATTAATAATTCATTTTAATTTCCTTGCTCAGTTTTAATATATTTACAAATTCAGATTTAAAAACAAAATAAGTTGTATAAATATTTTCAACATTTCTGATTTTTCCATAGTAACCATAGGAGAACGATTTGAGAATTATTACGATTAAAAAAAAAAGTAGGTTTTAGATCATCACACCTTCACATACTTTCACTGGAATTTTCCTCTGATATATACTGGGATGTGACACTAAGCAGTTGAGAGTATGTATTTAAGAGGTTAAAGGGATATTGTAACTAGTGTTTCAAATCCTGATAACATCCCATACGTTGTCGGTGGGACGTAGATAGGATGTCCTAAGGATATACTGGGATGTGACATTAAGCGCTCAGGAGGATGAGTTTAGGAGGAAATTGGGATATTACGGGATGTCCTGAGGATGTAGTAAGTAGGACTTTAAATCCTAATAACATCCCATATGCTGTCGATGGGACATAGATAGGATGTTTTTAGGATATAATGGGATGTGCTTAGGATGTTTGTGGGATGTCCTGAGGATGTAGTAAGTAGGAGTTCATATCCTAATAACATCCCGCACGCTGTCGATGGGACTTGGTTAGGATGTCCTGAGGATATCCCGGGATGTGACATTAAGCACTCGGGAGGAGGTGTTTAGGAGGTTCGCGGGATATTCCGGGATGTCCTGAGGATGTGCGCATATCCCGCGAGCAACATCCTTGGGATATCCCAAGGATGTTTTTGTGCTATGTGGGAAGGAATGATAGTTCCAACGGGCCAAAATGTCCATAGCTCTAGCAGGAAAGATCTGGCTCTTCTCGGGAAAGAAAACCACCTGCTTTTCTTAAAACCTAACTGACTCAAGGTATAGTTACCTGCGTTGAACTCCGGGAGGGGAGGAGAATTCCTTTACTCGTACATAACAAAGATGTCCACATTCTGACTCTGATGAAAAGACTTCTTTTATCCCTTTTTCAGTTGGAGTGACCTTCGAAGATGAAACCAGAATCATTAACAAAAGGTACCTCGTTGCATCAGGAGTTCTCCTCTCTGGTATGAAAGAAGTACTACTGCATTCGGAAATCAGTCATCCTGGGCAAACTAGACAAAGAACATCTATGTTACTTTATCTCATCTATGTGTACCTTTCTATGTTAATATCTGAAAAAAAATCTGTTGTCCACTTTCGAATTTAGCACTTTGTGTGAAGACTGTAAGTAAGTCTCTTTTGATGATTTACTAGAACAAAACAGAAGAAGCTGAATAAAAAACGAGCAGTTGTTTTTTTAACATTATCAAAAATGTAGATGAATGTTTAGTAGAAGGAAAGCAACTGGATTTAGAAAATTATTCGGACTTGTTGAATAGTAAAGAAATAGAATTATATCATTTAGATGAAAAATATAAAATTTGATTAAGGGACTCAAAGTTAGGGTCAGATATTAAAACTTTTATGAAGTATAATGATAATAACTTAGTCAAAAATCAACTCTCATTTAAAGAAATCGAGTACTAAGTATCTCAATACGAATTTAAATAATTCAACTATGGTAGGCCGAGCGTAGTAATAGCTAGAGAGAGTGTAGCCAAAAGGCGACCGCGTGCTAGTCAGAAACTCTGGCTCTCTAGCGAAGTCAGTGGAACTTCGATTTTAAGTACTGCTCTTCCTTCATTTGCATTTAACCGCGATTCTGAAAACACATTCTGATAGGAAATTGTATGCTGAAATTAGGAAAGATAGGAAAGTGGCTTTAACTAAAAATAACTGTTAACAACTTAGGATAAACCTTGCAGGTTAATCTTTTGAATGAGAACGTATACATAGAAGTCAATTTATAACATAGCCCATTTATAAGATTTAAGGCCAGAAATTTTATGTTAATGCGTTTGCAAACTATGTTGGTATTTAAGAAGTGGCTTCTAGCCAAGGTGAGAAGAGCATTCTGGCTGCTCTGCCACGCGCGTGCTTTTCAGTCAGTTCATGTCTGCCTTTAAGCCAGAACTTAGTTCCTGCTGATACCAGACGTATTGCTGTGTCTGTAGTGTCAAAAAGCCAATCTTCGCGTTAATAGTCTCTGTACAGAATTTAATTCCTCTTTTGTTAATTATTTGAATATTTCTTGTTTTCTACGTTTTAGACCAAAAGTGTTGGTCTCTGTATCCCGAAGTTTGGGAGCGCCTGTACATTGTGAGAAATAAAGTTTAAAGTTATCTCTTCTAATTTGTGTTGTCTCATCCACGCGCACACGAACATAGCTTGAGTAAGCTCCCTGTTCCCATTCAGGATTACTAGATGTTTCCCAAGGAGATGTTCCCAATTAGAAGGAATAGCCGTCCTGACAAATTGACAATCAATGAAGCATTAACTAAAGCTCAGAATCAATCCAGATTTTTAAGGAAGGAAGCATGCTTCTTCACAAGTGGCACCCTAACTCAAAACAGTTACGTTAATAATGGGTAAGTCTTGGGTAAGGTATGGAGTAATTCAAAAAGATTAGCTGTATTTTGACGATCAAAGTATATTATTCTTCATATCTAAACCAATAGGAGCAAAAAGATTTCTTATACAAGTGTTAGGTGGAATATTCGATCCGATTGGAATTTTAAGACCTTCACTATTAGAATAACGTGTTTAGTACAAAAGATTTGGTCGTCGCAAATAAAGTGGGATAGACCACTGGCTGAAGACTTCTTCTCTCAGGGGAGAAAAAGAGAGAAGAGCTATATCAAAAAGCTATATCAAAATTCTCAATCTCTGGTTACTTTTTCTTGTTCTCGGATCTTCATACTGAAAATCTCGAACTACATTGCTTCTTAGAAGGAAATACAAAAGCCTATTGTACAGTCGCATATTTGGGTTTAATGTCGAATAATAAAGAAATTAAACTGGTCTTTGTCGCTTTAAAAAAAAGAAAAATATAAGAAAGAAAGGGGGGGAAAGAAAAGAGGTAGCCCCACTTAAATCTTTATTTTGCCGAGGTTGGTATTATTGGGGGCACTGTTATGAGCTATTAACTTAGCTCATAACAATATTAACAGCCTGAAAGCTTTCAGCTTTTTTTTAATTGTTATTTTAATCTTATAGGCAGAGATGGAAAGCTGAATGTCAGAAAATGTGTATTAGACAATGGATTTGAGGAACTCTGTAGCCGAAGATTGCAAGGAAAATCTAAGCAATTTATTGTATGAGACAGACTGACAACCAAGTATTGTAGAATAAACATTAAACACTTCGTATTACAACCTTTGATTCAGTTCCAGATCCTCTCTTTACAGCCTGTTAGTCACTGTTTTCTGCTTCTAACTAGTATAACGTTTCTTTAGTTGTTTAGGTAAAAAATAAGAAATGATAGAAATATCTGCAAATTAACTAATTTCATGAGATTTAAAATTAAAATGATATTTTTAACAGCACAGAAAAGCAGCTAAAGAAATCTTCTTTCGATTTCAAAATGGATTCAATCTTTTCAGCTGTTATAATATGCAGGGCCGGATCGAATAGGTGCGGGGCCCGATTGGATTTTTTTGAGGGGCCCTCTCTATATATTAAATTATTAAATGAAAATTCAAATTCAGTATATATATATAAATATATCAAATGTCATGGATCATCAGATAGGTAAACTTCTACATAAATTAAAAAATAAAATAGTTCAAAATACAGAAACATTTATTGAATATAAATTTACATCACCGAATATGAATACATGAATGTACATATTTCTAAGTTTTTGTTCTGTAATTTCTTCTAAAATTGTTTGAAAATCTAATTTCCTTGAGTCTTCACTTTCAATCGACATAATTGCTAAACTATTTAATCTATCTTGACTTATTATCTTCCCACATTTCTTTCTCGTTTCAGTGGATTCGACATCTAATGATAAAATTATAGGTTAGGTATCCATTTTTAATCACATAATATACTTAAATTTTTAATTTTAAAAATAATTGTTTGTTAATAAAGATTATGTAATATAATTAGTACTTACCTTATTCAACAATTAGTAATTGTAGTCACAAAATGCGACTCTAATAATTATAACGATTAGAAGAATAGCGAACTACAAATGCAAGAAACAATTGCCATTTGATACTAGCTATACATCCACCACTGGCTGGTACGGTTGCATATACCTGCATAGTAGTTTACGTACGTAAAGTACGAGTAGTTCACGTACGTAGTGCAAAATCTCTCTAATATAGGACTATCCCGATTAAATTCAATACATCTGACATGAAGTTTTACGGGTATCAGTTTTCTGTATTATAAAGTATATAATAATAAACACATTAATAAATCTCATCCAGCAATGCGAACTTAAAATAAATATATTTTTAATTATTTGAATAATTCATAATTTATCCATCCGCGTCACGGTAGCATTCGGTTTTGAAGGCCGTAAAAAATGGCCAAACTATTGTTGATGCCAATGCTGCCAAAAATAATTGCGGCAACCCTAACGCAAGAAAGGAAGTATAATGGTAAATAACTATTTAAGATTGATGTTTTAATTTAGATGAAAAGTTACTTTCATATAGTGCTTTTTTATTATTATAATTTATATAAAAAAGGCACTATATGACTGAATGGAAGCCATAAGAGTAAATAACTGTTTCAGACTATTAGGTTGAAATGCGGTTTAGCCTGCTGCTCGGCGATTGTTTTTCAATGGGCAATAAACGCGCCAACATGGCTAACCTGATGTTTTGAAGCTGTGTTGTTATTCTTTTGCGACTAGATGTTATCGCCTTGTGTTATATTTAAAGAAATTAAATATTGAAAAATCTACATAAATGTTTCTCGCAGTGTGGTAAAGCAACGGTACCTAGAGCCATCAAATTTTGAATAACATACGTTTCCAAACTAATATGGGCATCTGGAAGCCCAAACTTGGAATTTGGAATTTCTTTTATTATCTGATTGATATTTTGTAAAACTTGAACGAATTTTTGATAAACAAACTCAAAGATTTCAAAGCGAACAATGGCAACACAGTATGTGGGAAAAAAAAAAAAAAAAAAAAGAAAAAAAAAAAAAAAACATTTTAACGTGCAAAGCGCAAAACTGTGTATCTGAAATTCTAAAGATATGCTAATTTTAAAATTATTTTGCGATATTGCTGCTGAACTGAATTTTATGGTTTAAGTGTAAAGAACATTATATTTGATAAAGAAAAGGTAAACGCAAAACGTTAAAAAAAAAACGTCCCCTTTGGGCGTAATTTGTAAAATCTGGAAAGCTTTAATTTTTTTTTTTTTTTTTTTTAATTTTTACTTGTTAATTTGAGCAGGTTAATTCTGTGTTGCGGTTTGAATGTTCTCATCTGGTGGTGGTTCTTTTTTTTAATCGAGTGTTTTTTTTTTTTTCCCCTGTGGGTTTTTGCCTTTTTTCTGCATATTTTACGGAAAAAATATATATACGTTATATATATGTTTATATATATATATATATATATATATATATATATATATATATATATATATATGTTATATATATGGAGTCGTATAAAACGTTAGTAAATTTATTTAAAGATGACAGGGCGGATCCAAAAGAGTTTCCCCCTGAGATAAATTCAATATACATATATAAAGCCCCTCAAAAAGATTTTGCATTTTTCTTGAAAAGGGTAAGTGAAAAAAATTTTTTTCTATGGTTCGTTTTAAAGTTGCTTATTTTTAATATTTCTTTTTGGCTCGATCCTAGAAGATTGGAAAAGCTGTGGTTGTGCAATTCTCTGATGTTTTTTAAGTGAAAATCCATCGATAATTTCATGGGCAAAGCCGATGCAGTGCGCAATGCCTAGTTTGCGCAATTCTCTGATGTTTTTTTAAGTGAAAATAGATCGATGTGTACATGGACAAAGCCAATGCAGTGCGCAATGCCGAGGTTAAGCGTGATGCCGAGTTTGTGCAATTCTCTGATGTTTTTCCAAGTGAAAATAGATCGATGTGTACATGGGTAAAGCCAATGCAGTGCGCAATGCCGAGGTTGTGAACGATGCCGAGTTTGTGCAATTCTAGGATTTTTTTGAAGTGAAAATAGATCGATGTGCACATGGGCAAAGCCAATGTGGTGCGCAATGCCGAGGTTGTGCAATTCTGGGATGTTTTTTGAAATGAAAATAGCTCGATGCGCACATGGGCAAAGCCAATGGGGAGCGCAATGCCGAGGTTGTGCGCGATGCCGAGTAGTTGCAATTCTGGGATGTTTTTTAAGTGAAAATTAGATCGATGTGCACATAGGCAAAGCGAATGTGGTGCGCAATGCCGAGTTTGTGCAATTATGGGATTTTTTTTGAAGTGAAAATAGATCAAAATGCACATGGGCTTGCCCATGTGGTGCGCAATACCGAGTTTGTGCAATTCTGGGATGGTTTTTGAAGTGAAAATCGATGTGCTGATGGGCAAAGCCAGTGTGGTGGCAATGCCTAGGTTGTGCGCGATGCCGAGTTTGTGCTATTCTGGGATGTTTTGTGAAGTGAAAATAGATCGATGTGCACATGGGCAAAGCAATTGTCGGTGCGCAATGCTGAAGGTTGTGCGCGATGCCGAGTTTGTGCAATTCTGGGATTTTTTTTAAGTGAAAATAGATCGATGTGTACACGGGCAAAGCCAATGCAGTGCGTAATGGCGAGGTTGTGCTCGATACCGAGTTTGTGCAATTCTCTAATGTTTTTTAAGTGAAAATAGATCGATGTGTACATGGGCAAGGCCAATGTATCACGCAATGCCAAGTTTGTGCAATTCTCTAATGTTTTCTTAGTAAAAATAGATCGACTTGCACATGGACAAAGCCAAGGCAGTGCAAATGCCAAGTTTGTGTAATTCTCTGATTTTTTAGTGAAAGTAAATGGGTGTGTACATGGGAAAAGCCAATGTAGCGCGCAATTCCGAGTTTGTGGAATTCTGGGATGTTTTTTGAAATGAAAATAGCTCGGTGCGCACATGGGCAAAGCCAATGTGGTGCGCAATGCCGAAGTTGTGCGCGATTCCGAGTTTGTGCTCTGGGAAGTTTTTTAAGTGAAAATAGATTGATGTGGACATGGGCAAAGCCAATGTCGTGCGCAATGCCGAGGTTGTGCGCGATGCCGAGTTTGTCCTATTCTGGGATGTTTTTTTTAAGTGAAAATAGATCGATGTGTACATGAGCAAAGCCAATGCAGTGCGCAATGCCGAGGTTGTGCGCGATGCTGAGTTTGAGCAATTCTGGGATTTTTTTAAGTGAAAATAGATCGATGTGTACATGGGCAAAGCCAATGCTGTGCGAAATGTCGAGGTTGTGCTCGATGCCGAGTTTGTGCAATTCTCTAATGTTTTTTTAAGTGAAAATAGATCGATGTGTATATGGGCAAGGCCAATGTATCACGCAATGCCAAGTTTTTGCAATTCTCTAATGTTTTGTAAGTAAAAATATATCGACTTGCACATGGACAAAGCCAGGTCAGTGCGAAATGCCAAGTTTGTGTAATTCTCTGATTTTTTTAGTGAAAATAGATGTATGTGTATATCGACACCAAGTTTTTGCAATTCTTTGAAGTTTTCGAGCGAATACAGATCGTTGTGCACATGAACAAAGCGATGCTGTATGTTATACCGAACTGTAATGTAATGTATTTTATATGCAATGTTTAATGTGCCGTTTTTGTATTTTAAATTTGCATTGTTGTTTTAATTGCATGTTATACTTTAGACATCTTTTTTTATTGTATTTTTGATTGTTTGGTTTTGACATGTTGATAATGCTTTCCGAAAAATATCGATAATCCGACGATCTACTCAATAGTAGCAAAATTTGACCCTATAAATAACTTATACTTTTTATATTTTAATACGTAGTATTTGATATCGCAATTCCACTTGATAATATGAGTTCATTGATAATATGTGGTGTGTGTGTGTGTGTGTGTGTGAAGCATTGCTTAGTGTTCCAAATTTGTAGTGTTTATTTTCTTTCATTGTGAGAAATTAGATTTTTTTATTTGTAGAATGTATAGAATTCTAGTAAGACTATAGAATATGACGTGATTTAAGAATTTAAGAAACAGTTATATGAAAGCTGTGTATGATGTTAATCTGCAATAAAATATTTATTCATTTTTTATTAATGTAAAGTTTAAAATGTTTTAGAAAATAATGAAGATTGTCTACTTACTAGTACCTAAGGGATTGTGTAGTTACGTAGCAACAAGGTAATTTGTAAAAATGATAAATTAAAATGTTCGATAATATGAATTTAAATTTGTTGGCAACTACTCCGGTAAAAGAAAGAAAGAAAGAATAAAAAAAAAAAAAATAAATAAATAAAAGAGGGAAATAGCTTTTGATTCGAGCGTATTGGTAGCAGAGAGAACCCAGACGAAAATCGTAGAACTAGCACTTTTTTTTTAGAACTTGAACTCGATCTCGATTTTTGGTAGTTTTTGAATCGGCTGTAATCGGATATTGTTCTTTAAATGATTATCCTTTTAAACTAAAAATGTAAATAATATTATGTCAATATAAACCCGCCCCCCCCAAAAAAAAATCAAAATCATGTGTACGATTTTTTTTTACGTTGAATTATTCACAAAAGAAGAAGTTAGTATTTTTCTAGTAGCTATCCGGAATATAATCCAGCATAAAAAAAAAAAAAAAAAAAAAAAAAAAAAAAATCAAAGGGGTAAGTCTTGAAATTTATTAAGCCCTTAATATTAATAGATTTAACGCAAATTGGCGTATATACTATTTTATTTAAAGACATGCAATAATTTTCAACATTCTGATATAATTGCCGCAATAAATGTAATAATAAAAATTTTTTTTATTTGTATAATCTTTGAAAATACGGAAGCTATATGAAACACAAATATGAGAGACTGCGACGTTGTTTACCGT